AATTTTGACTGTTCTCAAAGCCCTTTTCTTTAACACATCAGTTTTGAAGACAGAGATGTTCAATAGTTGACCAATATAAAGTATAATTCCAAAATGAACATATTAAAAGCATCATCTCAATGAAGGGGTCATAATATTATGCCTTGTTGGAGTTTGTTCACTCTAAACCTCAGTAGAAAACATAGACCTGAAGTGATAATATTGAGAATTTAAACTTTAATTGCAGATGAAGACTGAAAAAAATCAAATTATTCCTCTTGACGTTGTAATCAACAACAATCTGTCCTTCAAAAACTAATCAGACAACTGGATCTTTGACTATCTTAAATGAATAGTTGATGCTATTTTAATATGGTGAAAGGATTTCATACTGGGTGAAAAACTCTACACTATGAAAATGTTACTTTTTCTAAGGCGCAGAGCGATAGCTTGGTGGTCGCTTTCAAAAAAGGAAAAAAAAAAAGATGATTTCGAAATAAGATACTGCATCTAGTTTAGTTTTTGGAAAACTAGATAGAGTGAGGTGAAACTTTTCTCTTGAATCATCTAATGTTGGTTCATTTGTGTGTCATCAACTTTGGGACATTTGAGGTTTGATCTGGGCTTTGTCACAAATTTATGAGATGTCTCATTCATCGGGCCACACGTGTGGGCTGCACAGTGGCTCTGTTGCCTTGCTGCAAGAAAGGTCCTGGGTTCGATTCCCGGGGTCTTGCTGCATGGAGTTTGCATCTTCTGCGTGTGCATGCGTGGGTACCTGACAGTCCAAAACCTCAAGGTGTGAGTGTGTGTTCTTCAAAGTTTAAGCTATGAACGGTACTGGAATATTGCGTGCAATACGACGGTACAAAAAAAGTTTTACTTGGAATAAGAGCTTGTAACAGAAAAAAAATACCTGAGTGTCAAAATCTAAGGACATCATCACTTTTGTATAAAAAGCTTTCCAAAAGCTGAACCACTTCCTGTGAATGTTGCTAAATGAGATCAGACAAACCACAGTTGTTTTTTTTTTTGTTGTTAGTACTGTTTTGCATATGTGCCATGGCCTATTTATTGAACTGTGCGCAGTCTTAAGTAGCGTCTTGTTATGAGTAATAGTCGTCTGCTGGCTTGAATATGTTGACCTTGGAAAAGAAAGCATTTTTATTCTTCACATAATGTAAATGCTGGCCACTTGTTTTTTTTTTTTTTGTTGTTCTTTGTCTTTTCAGAACATATGTCAGACAGGAACTGCTCGGCATTTTGGCCGGGATTTTTCATTCATTCATTTATTTATTTATTTATTTTTACATTTATGGGTCAAAGTAATTTCCTCAAATGTTAAATTGCAAAGTTACACGTGCAAAAAAAACATCAAAACTGTGTCACTCAAAAACCACCTTTCTGAATTCTCTTGACAGCACCAGTGAATTCTGTGGATTTCCCATTTTCATGCGTTTCGTCTTTTCTGACAACACGCTCGAATCTGAGCCGCGAGGTTTTAAAGATGCCCTCAGATGTGAGTAAGTTTGGTAAACACATAACGATTCATCAGAGTGTACTTTCTGCCATCGATTGTTCTTAGAGCCGTACTAATTTGACTTAGAAATGATTCTTCTTCAGGTTTGTTTTGCAGCAGTCCAAATACTAAACGAAAAACAAACTTGTAAAAATCTATATACCAGTAAAAATAAAAATAATGAAATTGACTAACGGGGGAAACATTAAGAAACATACAGAGTATATGTAATCTGAAGTGAAGTGACTTCAGTTTATTTGGTAATAACTCAAAAGAGAACAAGGAACATGGTCTTGCAACAGTGTTGCAAGACCATGCAGGACTTTCATGACTTTCCCTTCTATCTATTGTGAAGTGTAAGGGACGCATTTCTTTAAACGGTTTACAAATGAAAATCTGAAATGTGTGGAAAGCCTTTGTATTTTGTATTGGATGTAAATTCACAAAGTCATGCTGTTTTTGTGGTTTTTGGGGGTTTTCTTTTTTTGTTTTTTTTGGGGGCTCGCAGTCTTTACCATAGCAACCATCCAAAAAAAAAATAGATAAAAAGTTCAGTCCTCCCAACTGTTCCATTAACTTTCAACACTTTCTATTTGAAACTGGCACCTTTATTTAGAGAGAAATGTTTTTCTCTGCTTAAACTTTGTCAGGCCTTTGCTGGATGCAACTGTCCCGCCTGCATCTCACAGAAGCAATAGTTTCATTTCTTTATGCATAAGTTGCATAAAACTTGTCATTATTTGCTATATAAACTACAGCATGTCGTGAAAGGTTCGTTGTTCGCTGTGAACTTCTATTGGCTCCACTGAGGATTCATGATTCAGGAAGATTCCTGATTATCTTCTGGTTCAACACATCAGAAGATAATTACTTAAACATGAATTGGCTGCGGTCCACATTATGATATATTAATATACTGGCTCTTTCTAAATTAATGAATCAATTTGGTATTGGATGAGTCAGTGCAGAAAGAATGCCATAAAAACTGCAAGGAAATTAATGAGCCATATTTCTGACCTAGCTTAACACTATTCGCTATTTAAAAGCTCACAGTTGGGCAATAATGAAATTATATGTAACCAATACTTCTCTACTAATAAACTAGTACTTGGAGGCATATAAATGGCACATTTCATAGAAGAAGTCCGTAATATGCAAGACTTTTCTTATTACTAATGATGTGAACATGTTTAAGTAAAGGAACGCATCCTGTTTCCAAAACTAATCCAACTCATAAGACCCCAGTTTCACTGCAGCTGATGAGTTTATACCAAAAGATTTTTACGCAAAAAAGAAAGAGATTTACTCATCAGGTCGTGGAAGATATTGAAATAATTGATAAATTCTTCTTCTTTCTTGGTGAGTCGTACAGCTGCAGGGAATGTCTGGTCTTGCAGACTTTATTGACAGAGAGTCAAAAACAGAATGTCATGATTTTCCGCTGATGACAGCAGTAATGGAGGAGTACCTGGCAGTCAGTATCAATTATCTCGTCTGTTGCGTATGTAGCTTGTGTGACATTTTACACCGCAGCAAAAACTGGATGATGTCATCAAGCTAGTGAATCCATGACAACCTCTAAAAGCTCTGTCCCCACGTAGTGCTTTTTACACACTCCCTGGTTTTGTCAAATTTAGCTTGTTTTCAAATTTGACTTGGCTTACAGCTGTTTCATATTATCTCCGGCTCACATCTCTTTAACCACAGCACAACCTTTTGAAGTGTTTCTGTATAAATACCACAGATGCTAAAAATAGCAAATGGCATCTCCAAAGCACTGCATTGCAGATGGCAATGGACATTCTTGTCCATTGCTGAATGTCCAGCAATGATTGGATATTCTTGCTATGTTCAGTCATTGCTGCAGCATTTATTCCAATGTGTATTTATTCCAACCTCAGACAAAGCTGGCATTGGAACCTGCAACCCAGCGGTTGCAGGTTGAACTCCTTCAACCTTAGCCACCAGAGCCCAACAACAAACTGTAATGTATTTTATGTAACAGAGCCAAACACAAAATACTCTGTCATGATATATGTTATGATGGAGGATCAAAATGCAGAAAATGCAGGCAGAAAACTTAGAACGTCAAATGACCAAAAATAATTAAAAAAAAAAACAAAACCTATTCAAGTAAACCTAGAGGGAACACAGGGAGCCAGGGCAGGACAAAAACAGGAATCCAGGAGCAAAACAGGAAATCAGCAGGGAGATAACAAGGTTCAATGTGATAAAACAGTATTAGACAGAAGGATCCAGCAAGGAGAAACTGGGAATGAGTAACTGAACAATGAACGTCTGTTCATTGTTCAGTTATGAACAGAACCTCCACTCGACAGAGCACTGCCGTGTTATTGGTCAGAATATCACTGTAGGCCATCGTTGTGACGACGTCCTGAGGGGGGAGTGCTGGAAAGGACTGGGTGGTTCAGAGACAAAGGCCAGTATCAAAGTGTCAACTGTAACTGATTAGAAATGAGTTACAGGATTGAGGGGAGAGAGACAGATTCAAGGGACTAAGAAATAAATCTAAAACTTAAGAATAACTAGACCGAAGAGGAAAAACAAAGTGTTAACATGAACAATAAGCATAGCAAACTAATCACTAAGGAAGAATTGAACATAAAACTGAAAAAAAAATTGTCTAATAAAAAGGAAACCAAGGAATACAGAACAAACATCAAAACAACATACGATCATAAGAAAACAACAAGGAATACATTACTTTAAAAGCATAATCAGAAATACATTGAAAAAAGAGATATTTTTGACAAATAAAACAACTTTAAAAAAAAGCTGGCAAGCAATAAATGTAAATTTCTTTGGACAAGTTTCCAATCGTCAGCTGTTAAGCTGCACATCTGAACTGGTAACCCCCGGAAGCAAAACTATTCCTGATGTCTTTGTCATCAACAAGCGTGACTGATGAGGTGGGATATCATAAATCTTTTTTTTTTTTTCTCCGTTTTGAGTGTCGGATGTATTTCTAAGCTTCGGTACTAAATCAGCACTTGGAATGTCGGGTTTTTGAGACCGCTTCATGAATGTGACTCATGTTTCCAGTGAAGTTGCTCCATTTTTACATCTGTGTCAACGGGTCCACCACAGTGTGACAGCAGCTCTGAACATCGGCGGAGTTTAACCACAAGGTGTAAGCAAAACGAACATCTCACTCGCGTTGAGAAACAGAGGGAAGAGCGATGTATCAGAACGATTACGGGAAGGATGGTTGACGAAACGATTCTTGTGCAATGTTCTGTTTGTGCAGCAGAACGTCATGAATCAATCGGACTCTTACCAATATAGATGCGTAAATAGATTGTGAAAAAAATCCAGAAAGTCACCCCAAAAAATCTCGACACAGATTTATTGGTATTATTACTATTTAAATATGTTTAAAATCTATTTTTTCCCCTTTAAAAAAATCAACTCACGTACTTGAAGAATATACAACTCTAAAGTTCTGATGTTTAAATTATAATAATAAATACAGAGAATAAGGTGTTGGGATGGTAGTTTAATATCAAAATGTTTTTCTTTTTAAATAATAAAAGTAATTTCAGTCTTGTGTACACAGTTTGATAAAAAGAAATATACATTCAAAGTTTGAATCTACTGCTCTGTTACTGCTATTTCACATGAAATCCTGTTGCTAATGCATAAAAAAGTTCATTACAGCATCAATGTTTATAACAACATTTAAATAGATTATAACTTACGCTGTTTGAGGCACAGTAATATTTAACAAAAAACAATGAAACTCAACAACAGAAGGTTTAATTTTTTTTTTTTTTTTCAAAGTTACGTTCCTCTTTGTAGTATAATGTAAAACAGCTCCAGTGCTATTCTAACTGTTCGACCATGGCAAGAGTTTTGAGCTCTGGTTCGTCAGCTTCCTTTCCCGCCACGCTGCTGCTTCTCTCCTTGCCCTTTCCTTTGAAGGGCTTCCCGATTTTGGTCGACAGCGTGTACAGGACGGAGCTCTCGTCCGGCGAAGAGCCGCTGCGGCCGCTGCGCGTGACGGTGGACGTGGTCCTGCTCTCCGAGTAGGTGGCCTCGAAGAGCCGGCCCATGAAGCTGAGGCCGGCCTGGCGGATGTGGGAGCTGCCGGCGAACACGTAGAGGATGGGGTTCACCGCGCTGCTGAAGTAGGCGAAGGCTGTGACGTTGGGCCGAGCGCTGGGAGTGCAGCGCATCCCCGGCTTGTCGTTCTTCAGCAAACAAGCCACCTGAGGAAGTGAGAAGAGAGACATTTCTCAAATAATCCATGCCAACAGGAGGATGTGGACTTCTTTTAAAAGTGGGCTTCTATGAAGAAGTTTGGGTCTTCATCCTAATTTGGAAAGTGTTTCTTCAATATTTAGGAAACTGTTCATGAAGAATTCCAGTTAATCGTCCTGTAATGCCAATCAGCATGAGAGGCATCCTCCACTCGACAGAGCACTGCCATGTTATTGGTCAGAATATCACTGTAGGTCATCGTTGTGACGAAGTCCTGAGGGGGGAGTGCTGGAAAGGACTGGGTGGTTCAGAGACAAAGGCCAGTATCAAAGTGTCAAAGAGGGCTAACGATGTATACAGCATTTTCAGAACAACTGTAGGCAACAGTTTGATTGTTCGATGGAATGGCGCAATGTCCCCGGAAAACACATCACGATTAATTGAATTTGTTTGACGTCGCACTCTTTGAAAATTTCACTGCTCAGTTCTCAGAAAAAGTCACAAAGGAGTTTTGAAGGCACTTGCGCCCGACATGTTTGACAGTTCGAAGCGTCAACTGACCTAAACGCATTGAAAACCAAAAATAAACAGAAGTAAATGTTATACAGCGTTTTCAGATGCTACAACTAACAACTGCATTAGCAGAATCACCTCAATGATGTTGACGATGTGATAGGGAAGCCAGAAAATGGCAAAGGTGACAATGATCAGCAGGATGAGACGACTGCCTTGTCCTCTGCGCTGGAACTTGGCACTTTGCAGTCTGCATATGACGGAGGAGTAGCAGGTGCTGATGAGTGAGAAGGGAACCAAGCAGCCCATGATGGTCTCAAACAGGTACTGGAAGACCGGGTGACCCATGCTCCCCCAGTGGTATGCCATGCAAATGTTCAAGCTCCTGTTCCCTATAGGTTTCTTTATAATACTGTGAAAAAGACACAAGCAGAGAGAATGAGGCGCCTGGATACCGTATACACAGGCTATGCATTAGGTATGCAACATTCAGTTGCTGATTATATTATTGTGTCCTTGCTGATAAAAACTATATAATCAGTGATTGTTTCACTTACATTTTTTGTGAAGTCAAAACTCTACAGTCAAAGGTCTATGACAAGTTGTCAAAAGTATTTCATGAAGCATTAAAATCTTTCTAAACTTTAAAAATATACATATCATTGGCAGATGATTAATAAAGCGACAAAGATAAATATTAGCTTTCCTTACCTCTTTAAAACTTAAGGTTTGTTACATGAACAAAGAGAACAAAGGTAATTGGTGGTGCAACTTGTTGAGACCATGAAAAATTTTACATTTTACCCAATAAATTGAAGCTGATTGAGAAGTTTCCCCAAGCTTTTGTACGTACAATGAAATCTACAGATTTGTTTGATTCATAAAATTACTGTATGAAATTAAACAGTTTTCATTCACAGAAAACATTTAATTCAAACAAGATCTTAACTCCACAACAGAAGACCAATGATCATGCGTTGTCAACTCAGGACTGATTGAAAGACAAATGTAGGGCAAGTTATGCAATGTGTTTTGTTTTGTTTTTGCTGGAATATTGCGTAATTTTGAATCATGGCAGACCAATAATTGCTGTTCTGACAAATGTCATTGTCACTGTTCCCTTTTCTGTTCTTTGAAGTTGTAAAAATGCTATTTTTTTAGTTCAATCTGTATAAAATTTATCGTACTATGGCCTTTGATGATGAACTCCAAGTCTTTGAGATTGGCATCATCCTAATGTTTAGTTCCCTCAACATTATCTTCAGATTGACATTACGATTCTGAAGGTTTAGAAACCTGAACCTTCTTTAGGTTTCTGAAACCTTGTTTCTAAAACTGGGTTCAGTCTCTAGGGTGGTTAGTTAGGGTTGCCCTAGAGACTCGATTGTGACGGCCCCTAAACTAGTCTCTGAAACTAAACTAGTCTCTGGATGTTAAAAGCTTGTTAGTCTGTAAACTAGAGACTAGTTCGTAGAGACCCTAGAGACTAAAGTACCCTTGAGTAGATTAGTCTCTAGGGTTTTAGAGACTAAACTTCTTGGAAGTCAGTTTAGTCTCTAAAAACCCTTCGAAAAGGGGTTTTAGAGACTAAAAAATGTTTCCAACATTTTGAAACATTTCCAAGGGTTTTTCCATTGCGTCACAATCAGAAATACCTCATTGTACCATTGCACCAAAATACCTTTGTCTGTGTTGGTCTTACCTGCGATAGAACGGCATTGGCAGAGACAGGAGGAAAGCCAACACCCAGACCCCAAACAGGAGGACCAGAAGGGAGCGCTTGGTCCTCATTCTCTGAGACACAAAGGGCCTCGTGACGGCCAGCCAGCGGTCCATGCTCATGAGACAGATCAGGTAGATGGACACGTACATGTTCACGCTCGACAGGTAATGCACCAGCTTGCACGCCGCCGAGCCAAACTCCCAGTGCAGTCCTGCCGCCAGGAACCGAATGAACAGCGGGGCGCTGAGGAGCACGAAGCCGTCGGCCAAGGCCAGGTTCAGCACCAACAAGCACGTCACCGAGCGCTTCTTACCCCGGCAGAGCAAACCACAACAAACATGTTACCAGGGAAGCCCAGGAAGGAAGGCCAGGATGGCGATGCCAATGCGAGCCGAGACATCGCTGGGAGGAGGCGAAGAGACGGCGGTAGTGGTTTCATACTGGATCCCAAAGAAAAAATCCTCTTAAGACTGGGAATTTGGCTTCAGCTCGCATGAAACCGCCAAACCTGTCAGAAAGGGAGGAAAGGGAGGAAACATGGTGTGCTGTTTATCCTCACTGCAAAAAAAATATCTTACAGAGTATTTTTTTTTTCTCTACGTTCCAGTGCATATATCTTGAAATAAAACTTACAGGTAACTTTTTAGCAAGATACAGGAGCTTGTAAAAATCGAGTGATGGCGTAAGATTGAGTAGAAAAACGTGCCACTTCCACTGGCAGATAATTTCACTTATAACATGGGAAATGTGTTTTAAGTGAAAAAATCTGCCAGTGGAATCAAACATATCGATCTTTTTTTCTTTTTTTCATTCAATATTTAGCTTCTATGTCTTGCTTAAAAGTTACCTGTAAGTCAGTTTTGTCTTATGTAATATTTGGTCGAGAAAATAAACATTACAATAAGCTATTTTTAGTAATTAAAAACTTTTTTTTAATCTATTCAGGAACCTTCTGTTTGCTTTAAAGGCATTGAAATGAATGAAATAAGAGGAATAAAAAAGAAGTAATGAAATCATTCCAGCCCACCACCAAAACACACAAGTTGTTCAAAAAGTAAAATTAAATACAAATAACAGAATAAAATAAAACAACACACATGGTAAAGCTTTCAATTAAAAACTCCATACTGTACGTTGAATGAATAGCAATATCAAACCTGAGCAGCCCAACATTTTTAATCCCTTTCTCAAAACTTCAAGACTGAAAATAAGGCAATATTAATCAAATAATTGTCTGCATTTCAATCCAAAGGTCAAAGTATCAATCTCATGAAACTCACCTGGAAATGATCTCTTCAATTCACCACCATAACTCCACTGTATTCTGTCGTTATTCTCCACTTGCATGAACTTTGCTGCTCTCTCTCTCTCTGTCTCTCTCTCTGTGTCTCTGACTGCCGTTTCTGTGATGAGCAAACCAAGCGCATTGCGAAATGTTGGTCACGTGACGTGAGGGGAAAACCATTAACAGGAAGCCAAGAGAAACCCCAACTGGATTTCTATGTTGTCCTTGCTCCTCTTCCTCCTCCTCTTTTCATTTTGCTCAGACAGTTTTGGATTCTTGCAGGAAGATGCACCTGATATCTTCCTGCACTTGATATCCGATAGCGCCGACAACTCCAGACTGTTGGCATGCGAATGAAGTAGGTCTCTGTCAAGAAGTGTCTGTATGGCGCAAGAAAGTAAAGTCCAATCATAATAAATGAATAAATTCCAGTCTGGTTGAAGCTACTTTGCCTTTCATAATTTCATTCTATAAAAGTAAAAGAATACTTCAAAATGCCTAGTTTATGGCACAAAGGCAATGGCCAGCTTGAGATGTCATCATTTGGGGGAGAAAATACATGAGGGAGGTGGATATTCCAGTAAACTGACTGACTTGTTCGTACACGAGTTCGGATCACGGAGCATTTGTATTTTTTTTTTTTTTGCTGTTGCAACACAGCTTCCCCCCTTCTTTCCACATCTGTGTAAAGCCTATGGACAGGATGTATTCAGTTTCATAAGCATCGGCGATGTGTCAATTGTGTCATGGTTTGCATCATACAATCTACTTTTCTGTCTGAAACTGCTCAGTTGAGGGTTTTGTTGTTTTTTTTAAGACATTCAAAGTCATTTTTTTAAACAAGTGAAATGCATATATGTGCTTAACTCAGCTTTCAGTCCTAGAAAATAATTCTTCCTGCTATTGAGTTAAGAGTATTTAACTTAAACGGCAGTGGACTTTTAAATTTGCGCACGGCCTGTTGGATAAAAATACAGTGTGTGATGTCAAACCGTTTGGGCCTTAACTGCTTTTTTTTTGTTTGTTTTTTTAAAATAATAAACAACATCTCCTGCCAGAACCAACTTCTTGTCAAACTGGGCCGAGTGAGAAGAGGATTTCTGTAACGTTAAAAGTCCAAGAATGCCTGTCGCAGTTCAGCCCCTTTCCATTGTCACATTGTCATAACTTTTGGTTTAGTTTCTTTCTTTCTCTCTCTCTCTTTTTTTTTCTTTTACGAAAAAATGACCTCTTTATTAAAGCTAAACCGCCAAACTACAGTTGCTCTGACCCCGTTGTACCCCAGCTCTAGCTACGTTAGCATTGAGGAAAGTACCGCTTCGGAAATGGGCGGAGATTGCCGTTATCAGCTACAGGCAAACCTGTGTGTGTGTGTGAGACTGCATTTGCTTTACCACACAGCGTTGGATAACATCGAACTCGTGTTCACCAGTAATTCAATTCCAGTTCTGATTGGTCAATAGAATATCGAGCAAGTTGAAGGCTACATATACTGCTAGGTACAATTCAGCAGACAAGCAGCCAGGCCAGCTCAATCGGAACAGCGACTTGCTGGGGGTTACAGAAAGTGAGGTGAAACTGGGCCAAAAGGTTTAGCGACGGCAAAAACCTGGTTTGAACCAGGGCCTTGACACAGTAAACTTCCTGCCACAGACCTTTTGCTATGTGCCTGTGTGTTCCTTTACTGTCTTTTTAGCTACCTCAAAATCAGAAAAGAAATAAAACATAATGCCACATAGACTGTTTAAATATTTGAAGCCAGCATTAAGTGGTTCACAGCAGGAAAAAAAATTGAAAATCAATCTACTAGAGCTACTATGAATGTTATGTTCTGTTTTGTGGGAAGTGGCTAAAATGGTAGGGTTGTCATTCACTCTACCAAAAGCTTCCTATATTACCAGATAATTATTTGATTCAAAACTGACAGTAGTCTAAACGTTTTTAAAATATGAACAGAAAATAAATGACCATTGTCAAACAGTCATCGTTACTCATTAGCAGGTCTATACTAAGAGCCATTAACTCATCCAGGCTAAGACGTTTGGGGTTTGGACTGACCTACTGAGAAATGTGCAGCGTCCTCACATTCCAAAGCTGCAGGCTGCCATATAGGGAGACGCGCCTGGCGCAGAGCACCGCTTCAAGGCTTTTGTGTACACGAGTGAGGGTTTAAACATAAATAATGACAAAAATATTAAACTGTTAGAGTTGTGCTTCCGCTTCTCACAGAGCCTAATCTATCTGTCTGTCTGTCTGTCCGTCCGTCCGTCCATCCGTCCATCCATCCATATTTTGTTAGATCTCAAGATACCTTGATATCAGCTAGTGAGACCACCAGTTATCTTGATATTCAGCTCACAAGGAAATAAGGAAACAAAAAAGATTGCCAAAGGAGATTTCTGGCTGTGGTTCAGCTACATTGCAAAAATACTTTGGAGCATGAAGGATATAGGTGTATTTCAACACACACACACAGTTGGGATCTGATTTCCCAGATCAGTTTCAGGGAAATATTTCTTTTGATGGAAATCCATGACTCGGTGCAGTTTTTCAGTCACTTTGGTGCATTTCTCGCATCTGTATGAGCATTTCCTGTTCATTTCTTAAGCAATTGCCATAGCTGATGACCTGAAAACACCACGACACTTGCTGATCAATCCTAAAAGGCAAGCATTCATGTCCATGACAGCATGAGCGTCGTCAAAAATGACTTTTTCACGATGATATCTAACTCTGTTGGTGTATTCAATGCAGAAGAATCAGATCTTGATATTCGAGACAGAACCATGCACCACTAGCACAGCTGTTACTGTAAGCTGCAGATTGTTTCTATTTAAATGAATACCAAGGACTAAATATATATGGTTCACATTGTTATTGCAGATATTTTTGGGGTATTTTAATTTGTTCACAACATTCTGCAAAAGTAAAGTACAATCATATGTACAACAAACACACTTTGGCTAAAACTGTAGTGCATAGCTATAACTCAGTGAAAGTTGTGAGAATTTGAATGGCATTTTCTTGAAAAAGATGATAAAGAATTCAATTAAATTCACAGATATTCATTAATGCCACTTTTTTAGAAAGAAAGAAAGAAAGAAAGAAAGAAAGAAAGAAAGAAAAGAAAAAAGAAAGAAAGAAAGAAAGAAAGAAAGAAAGAAAGAAAGAAAGAAAGAAAGAAAGAAAGAAAGAAAAAAGAAGAAAGAAAGAAAGAAAGAAAGAAAGAAAGAAGTGGAAATGGTGACATCTAGTGGCATGTATTGTGAAACTAAACATTATTGTCCTGGAGAGGGAATTACAAAATCATGTTTGGAACAGCCATGTAGTGCAAACATGAGAAGGACGCTAAAGTGATACCAGTACTCTCTTTCAATGTTTTGATATGATGAAGCACACAATATTCTTTTTTATACAAAAGCTCTAAAAATTCACATCTATTTCAATGACTTCTTAAAAATGGTTTTATGCAAAGATAATAAAAGTTGATGCCCCAGGAAAAAGACATCAGCAAGCAAATTAATAGCAGACAATGTATTTAAAAGCACGTAGAAACAGAATGTACAAAGTTAGAGGACTTGAATTAGACTTCTTAGACGTCTAAGCATCCCAGGCTATGACTCTCAGTTTGTCTGATATTCCAAGGTTCATATGGGTGTTGGGCCCGTTTTCAAATACTTCTGTATGTATGAAGCATCACCATCTTAACAGGTTTTTGTCTGCAAATGTATCCAAGAGTTCGTCTTCGGCGATCCGCTGAATCTTTCTTGGTGCTACAGACTCTTCAAGTCTTTGTAAAACTTGTTTTTTAACATTTGGACGGAAGAAAGATTTCAAGACCGGAGCGGGGGTTCACTTCTATTTTTCCGTTTTTGTTGATTTGATGTTAAGAGTTTCAGGTTGTGGAAAAGTCTCCGTCCTTGTCTTGCAGCACGACCTCTGCGTCTTTGTCCTTGTCCCGGCTGTTCTGGCTGTTCATTCGGCTCTTCCTGGAGAAGTCCAAGCCCGTGCCCTCAAACAAGCGAGCCATGAAAGCCACGCCCTCCCGTCTGATGTAAGACTTTCCTGCGAAGAAGTAGAGCACCGGGTTGGCACAGCTGCTGATGAAGGCGACTGTGGAGGTAACGGCACGAAACTTCTTCCATATTTTCTCCAACCTTGTCGGACAAGACATGAACAGATGAGTGAGAGTTGGGAAAGAAGAATGAATTATTAAAAAACTCACAGCCAGAGTTCTTATTTTTGTCAGAAAATCTGAATATTTTTTAATGGCTCAATACCCTGAACAATAGGGCTGGAGTTATAGTTCATGAGAGCCATTCTTTAAGCCAATCAGTTTCTGTCTCTGTCCTCAGTCCTTTCATTGGTACAAAAAAGGGTTAATTTATCCTTGGAGGAAAATAGCTCGGTGCTTGTTTGAGTTGTTTTTCTAAGATGAGTGCATTTGCAGACAGAGGATCACTTACACTACTCTTGTTGGTGAACATCCTGGAAGCAAAGCCGATGCAACCTGAGGGGAATACAAAAACGACATGATTATTAATCCGCTGACTGAACTTATTCAAAATCATATCATGCTCAGAAGAAACGTGACGTACTTGCACCATGTTGATGATGTGGTAGGGTAACCAAAACAGGCAGAAGGTCACCACGATGGCCAGGATTAGCTTTTCGCTGCGGATCCTGCGGCGGAATCTGGTCTGCCGGATCCGTCTCAGGATGCAAATGTAACTGACTAAAATGATTCCGTAAGGTACCACGAAGCCCAACACAACCTCCAGCATGTACTGCAGAACTGCCTGGGATACAGGTGGGCAAAAGAAGGGAGGAATTAAAGAAAGCTCACATGTGTTCACAGAGCTAAGAAAGAAAGGCATTGTCCAAACTTACATCTGGGTCTTTGTCGTGGAATGAATCACAAACCGTTCTGTTCCCTGCATTAAGCCTCGCTTCTCGATAGATCAGCGCAGGAATTGATGCAACCATGATGAGCAACCACATGACAGCCAACACACGTGTAATCGTCCTCTTGCTGGTGACCGCGCTGATGCGCTGGGGCCACACAATCGACACCAACCTGTAAATGCTCATCAGCATGATCAGGTAGATGGAGGCGTACATGTTGGCCAAGCAGAGGTAGAACAGAACCTTGCACATCACAGTCCCCATTTTCCAGTCCATCATAGCCAGGTAGACGATGAAGAACGGGGTCAGAGCCATCAGGGAGCCATCCGCAATGGCTAGGTTGAGGATGAGAAGGGTCGTGACGGATTGCTTTCGGGCCCGCGCCAGGATGCTCCAGATGACGAAGAGGTTTCCGGGGAATCCCAACAGAAACACCATGGAGAGAATGAGAGTGCCCGTCACTGTGGCAGCTGGAGTACTTACAATACTCTCCTTGGCGACACAGCTGCCATTACTGTGGGGCATCTCCATTCCCTGGTAAAGAGGAAGTATTGGAGAGTAATTTGTATTAAGGGTTGTTGCGTTTATTCCTTTCCCATAAAAAAAGAACCACAAATTAGCAACTACAAGAGTGGGAAGGTTCTTTGATTCTATAGCACCGTTGAAACAAGCACCTTTTCAAGATTGCCTGATGGAAGAACAGGACCTCAATGTTTTTTCTGCTGTGGGCGTGAGATTCATAAGTATGAACTGCTTGCGCTGACGCGTATTAGAGCGGCACAAGTGCGACGGGTTTTAACTGGGACTGTTAATTCCTGAGCAACGAGACCAGACATGAGTATAGCGCACCGTTTAGCAACAACTGCTTTCAGGACTGCAGCGATGATTTACAGCTAGTTTTTTATTTGCATGCCTGATGAGACAAAACGTCCTGCATCATTAAAAATCCAAAGCAGAACTTCAACTCAACATTTTACAGGAAAAGGAGAGGGAAAAAAAAGCAACACCGCAGAATATGACAATATCTCATCCTGCAGGAATGGAAAACAAATAAGAAACTGAAAACTGTGGTGTGAAAAAGTCAGTACTTTGTTGAACCACCTTTTGCTTCAATTCCAGCTTCAAGTCTTTTAGTTTTTGTCTAGTTTGCACATCTAGTGACTTAAATTTTTTTGTTCATTCTTCTTTGCAAAACATCTCCGGTTCGGTCAGATTAGATGACGAACAGCAGTTTTCAGATCTTGCCACAGGTTCTCAAATAGGTTAAAGTCTGGACTTTGACTGGACCATTCTTACACATGTATACGTTTTGTTTTAAACAGACTCAAAGCGGTTTTCTTCAATGATTGCCCTGTATTTGGCTCCATTCATGTTCCCATCACCACCCACCATCTTGGTCTTCTCTTCCATAAACAACGCAGTTTGTGCAGTGCATGACTAAAAGTTTTCCCGTGAACAGATTCCTCCACCTGAGCTGTGGATCTCTGCATCTGGTCCAGAGTCACCATGAACCTCTTGGCTGCATCTCTAATCAGGACCCTGATTAGAGATGTTCAGCCTGGAAGTTTGGCTGGACGGCCTCGTCTAGGCCGGCTTACAGTTGTGCTGCACACTTTCAGTTTCTGGATGATGATCTGAACAGAGCTCCGTTCAAAGCTCGGGAAATCTTTTTATAGCCATGTTTCTCCCTGTCCTGTCTGGTTCGTTCCTTGGACTCCATTATGCCATTTGCTCCCCAGTATTCTCTTAGCCTTTGAGGCGTCACAAAGCAGCTGGATTTATAGCAGTCGTCAAGTAACTTCTGGAGAAAAGGGGCTTGAACACGTTTGCACACCACACTTTTCATGTTTTTTTGTACGTAACATTTTGAATCTTGCATAATTTTTCCCACCGCTTCACACCTGTGCACTTTGTGTCGGCCTTTCACATAAAATTCCAATGAAACATATTTATGTTTGTGGTTGTATTGTGTGAAGGGTATGAATACTTTTGGAAGCTGCATACCTCAGCAAGTATTCATTTTCCTAATGTGACTGAAATCAGTCGTCGAAGCATAAGAAGCAAATAGAAACTGCGGCAGCAGTGAGAGCTGCCATATTAGCTGATGAAAACCTTCGGCTTAAAAATGAACAGCTATTTAATGAGACCGCTTTCGATAAGTTACACACTGCTTCATATAAAGCAGGAATAACCTGTTAGTGCAGCCGAAGAGCCTAAGAGCTTCTTTCCAACGTAATCAGTTCCATCATCTCTATATTCATTGCTTTCAGATTTTACATTTCATGTCAGTTTTCCAGCTGACTTGTTCAGTGACTCAGGAATTACTGTTTCTCAATCAGACAAGCATGTGCAAAGCACTAATGGTTACACTTCGATTAACGCTCACAGAAGGCCAACTCAGTCTGAAAGAACTCAACCTACAGTGATTTACTGGGAATTTGCTGAGGAAAAGTCTTAAGGGCAGCGACACGCAACAAACCACAACGCTAAGAAAAATTCTGAAAAATAAATTTACTGGAATTAACTTGTGACTTCATTCTCGTCATACAACGACTTTATTCTTATTCTTATTTAAGTAGGGATGCCATGCATATGTATGAAGTCTTTTCGACAAAGCGCAGAAAAAAAAAAACATGTAGACCACAATAGAGTAGAATAGAATAATCCTTCATCGTCCGTCAGTGGGAAAGTTCAGGTGTTCCAGCAGCAAAGAGGTGGAATCAGACAGATTTGTACAAAAAGTAAATAAAAACAAAACAAATGAGATAAAAATAAATAAATAAATAAATTGCAGCATGAGAAATATACGGTATAACCATACTAAGATCTTTAAAAAACGTGCTGCTGGTTAGGAAAATAAAACGCTTTATATTTGTAAAATTCAACTGTAGAACAAGTAAATGTAAAGGCGGGAAAAAAGCAAAAAGAAACTTTGATTCATTCTCAGTACTTGGTCTGGTACATGCTACATCTTGACTTGACAATATTTCCCAACTCTAACTCTGCCTGGCAGAAGTTCTTCAAATCAATCAGATCTTACCTCTTCAGGTGAACACAACAGATTTTTGATTTTTTATCATCTTTTTTTAAATTAAACATAACTCAAACGCATGATGTATAGGCTACATTTTGTTTCTTCAGGCAAAATGTCATTCTCTCTACCAGCAGTTATTTTTTTCTCCAACCAAGATCTCGTCTCAACCGGCTTCGTTGATTTTTTGATTAATTCACCATCATCACAGATGATCGTGTGAGCAAATCAAATCACTGTGTCCTTGGTTTTTGGAGACAGACTTTTCAAGTGCACTCAGAGATGCAAATGCACCTGAGAGAGATTTATCGCCATTCATTTTCAAACAGGTCCCTGACGGATGCACACAGTCCAAAACGGATTCCACAGGGTCAAAGTCAACTTTGAAGTGACAGAAAGTCTTATCCATTTCTTTCAACCCTATGGCACCCTTGCTGCTGGCCATCAGTAATGACTCAGAAGGTGTGTTTGTGTACATTTTGACAAAGAGACATGCCTTCAGAATGACAGCTGCTGCACCTATGGAGGAAAGTCTACACACTCACCCGAAACTGCACCTCACGTGGAAGGCACGGATTCAGCTGGACAGGATTTGTTTGGATTTCTTTCTCTCTCTTTTGTTTTTAAAGTTCTTCATCAAGCGTCAAATACCAAATTTGTTCGATCCAAAGCTGACTTTGACATTTCTTTAGAAACATTACAGCGGTATTACAGCGTTCGTGTGCGCGTGAGCACGTCTCGAGATTCTTGTCGCGCGTAAAAACTCTGGGGGGAAAAAAACAAACAAAAAAAAAAACACGGACGCGTACTCACCGAGTGAGAGGACCCCATGAGCGCAGGCGAAGCTCGACCGGTTCTCTTTCAGGTGAACGCTTTTTCTCCTCTCCTCCTTTTACCTTTCCAGTTTGCCCACGCGCTCCGACCCACCCACGTCCTCTCCGCGCTTTTCTACCCGCGTCTCACGCCAAAGGCTTGCTCTTCTTGCTTCGACACGTTTTGACAGAGGATGGGTGTGTCCTGCTTCTGTTTGCCTTGACGGTCTGATAATGTTCACACGTCTACGGGAACATATTTCTCCAGTTAGCGGTTCGAAGTCGTGGTTTAACCGTTAACCAAAATTCTTCCCGTCAATTGCTTAGAGCTTCCGGTTCCGAAAATAGGGTTCGAGTCAAGTCTGTTTGTAGCATATTTTAGCTCCAAGGTAGTTTAAAGTGGGTTACGTCGTAAAAACGCAAGAATATTTATTTTTGTTGTCGCTGTTTTAATTTACTTGACTGGTCTGGTTTTAGCAAATATCATGCTAGGTGTTTTCCAGCGCTAGCATAAACCCGAGTTAGCTATTTTTTTTCTTCTGATGCGTCAAACACGTCACAATTGAAAAGGCTTGCAGCTGCATTGCTTTCTTTGGTCCAATACTGATTCTAGCACAACGTTCACTAATTAATTACAGTCCACACGCTGCATGTAAATAGGTTGCTTGAGCTTTTTTTTAATTATTATTATTCGTTTAGTTCATTGAAATGTCTCTCCTCTCCAGCTACAGTAACAGGTAATGTACTAGCTTGTACACTGTTCACCTTTTTCACAGGGACAGGGGTTAAAGGTTATAAGTGGTATCGGGGCTAGAGCTGCTGCTGACTTACTCATCTGCTGTTAAGTGTGTAAAGGGTACAGAGACAAGTTACATATATGAGTATGTTGTTAAATTATTTCCTTAATTCATTAAATGCTAGTGAAATGGAGGCTAACGGTACTCTTTAGCTAAGCTAACTATGCTAAATGTTAGCATAGTTAGCTGATCTAGCATAAAACCTGATCTTGCTCCAAAAAGATCAGGAACACGTCGATCTTTTTGGAGCAAGAGCCTGGTACTTTCGTATCGACATCATTGTGTCGAAACGTCAGGGTGTCTCCTGAGCATTCTAGAGTCCATGGTTGAGAATCTCACAGTCTGCCCACCTCTGTTGGAGAAAAACTGGGCTATAAATTGACACTCAGGTCTTTTCTCTCTCATTTTGAAAATCTGACTTGATAATTTTTCTTGGCAGCATAGTAACAGCCACAGTCGTTCTGGTCTTCCACTGACTGCTGCTGAACACCGTCACCATCAAGCGCACTTATAGATGTGCTTATAGGTATAGATAGATGTGTGTTTTGGTCTGGGAGTGGGAATATTTCATTTATACTGTTAAAACCATTTTAAAACACTATGTGATTAATTTTGTGACTGACAGGGACCCCATTTTTTTCTATTTCCATAAGAAAATTTAAAACAAATTTTGTGGGTGGGCCCCATGTCGGTCAGGGGGCCACCAGGATAAGAAAATAACAGATAACTGTTATTAGGTGAATCATTTCTGAAAGCAACAAACACTAAAACTGTATTACCAATAACCATGAATACATAACACCTTCAAATTTGTTAAAAAGATGTTTATTCCCCCAAGATCAGTTTTACATATTAAACACCCAGAGCAACTTGACTGTCCAGTTATATTCAAAACTACAAAAGTAGAAAATCCAGTGCCAGAAAATCTGCTCTCTGCATTTCTCTGATGGTGTGTGAGTTGGTTCCACCATAGACCGATGCAAAATAAAACTGATTTCACAAGTTCAGGTGGATTTGCTGATTCTTCTCTTGATGATGGATTTTGCAAGAAAAACAACATGAACGAATCAATGAAATTTTGGCGAATTCAAAACACATCAAATCAAGTGAAAGTACTTCCTCATATTTTCCTTCCACCACAGAGTTTAATTACTCCTCCCCTTTCACCTTTAGCTTTGGAGACTTTCCAAGTTCTTGACAGAAATTCTGTTACACGGAATTGTTTTTGCCACACCTGCAAACCGCGACTCACTAACATTTTCAGAATTATATTCTGTACGAGTTCTGTACTATTTCAATTTGGCCAATCCTGCAAATACTCCAGTATCATACCACTCATAGTTCAAACCAATACCAGGATAAAGAGGCTCAGTGAACGTGGTCTGGACTTCAAAGATTTGCAGCATTTGATCAGAAGCTTGATAAAATCTCAAAATTCCTGCCTGGTAATCCAGGAACACGCCGATCTTTTTGGAGCAAGAGCCTGGTACTTTCGTATCGACATCATTGTGTCGAAACGTCAGGGTGTCTCCTGAGCATTCTAGAGTCCAAGACTTGTCGTTTCTCCCAAACTCTGACTCGTCCGAAGTTCGGTTGGCGTCTTTGTAAGCTACAGCCGCAGAGAGAGTGCGAGCGTGCCACTTCACCTCCCAGTAACACCGCTCTGTTAAAGCCTCTTTGCAAAGGACCTGTGGGAATTTTATGAATCTGTTTGGATGAGGAGAATAGGGGATGGGTGAAGGCCTCATTTCTTGGTTGTTGTCCATGAGGGTTAGCTTAGGGTAGTTTGACGTATCATCCAGTGTTAAGGGACGCCAATCTTCCAAGCAAAGAAGAATTAGTCACCACAGTAATAATTCTGACAATATTTGTGACCACATAAGAAAGATATTTGTAGTTTGATTTCTTACAACGCAAAAACTCCTCTCTGCTGTTGGGTGCAGGTGAAAGGGAGAAGTCAACGTAAGAGACTGTGAGAAGACACAACAGTCATTTTTAAGCGACACTGGAAGAAAGTAAATCTTATACACACAGAAACTCTACTTACCCGTAGTTGAGATCTTGGGCCATGTCTCCTCCAGCAAAATGTCTGCTTTGGCTTTCAGCTCAGTCACACAAGCAGTCACATCTGTGAAAGAACGTGGAGGACCGGCACCCGGTGCAAAGTCTTGAAATGCGACGGAAATGGGGTTAAGCTGAAAAATATAGAGAGAAAGTAATTAAAACTATCCAGGTAGAAACCAGCCTCTCACTCTAACTTTTGTCTCGTTCAGAGAGTCTGGATCCTCGGAGACTGAGAAATGATTCCTCGTTGGAGGCATGGATTCTGTTGTCCATGCCTGTTTCTGTCTTAAATTTGACCCATTTGCTAACGTTTGGCCGTGATGTATGTGATGTGCCAGTTCAACGCTGTGAAGCTTACCATCCTCCACTGTGAATTGAAACATACCGAGTCAAATAAGATGGCTGTTAATGTTAATTCAATATTTGGAAGAGTGGCCAACACGGACTTAAGGGGTTCCTTCACTTCCTCTAACATCATTGCCAAACTACAGGCAGACTACAATTCTAAAATACAGTGGAAAACTTCTTTTCTCTAGAAATTCTGCCAGAGAAATCCAGCACAATGGAAGAAAACCCAGACAGAGCAGTGAGAGGAAATTGGAATCAAACGAACAGAATTGTGTAGGACAGAAAGTTAAAACAGTTAAAACAATTGCTCTTTTACAACCTTAGGGAGGCAATAATATTATTTGAAAAAGTCCAACACTCATGATGAGTGTTCATTGTAATCACAGAGGTTTCATTTTATTCACTGGCACATCTTAAAGAAAAGCAATAGCATCTAAAACCATTTTGATTATCAATAGAAAAAAATGAATAAATCTTTGTTGCTGTAACAGTAACCAGACCCCAATTTCCGACCAGATGGTTCACTTTTCCACTTATATTTTTTTATGTGTATCTTGGTTAATATACAGTTAGGGCCAGAAATATTTGGACAGTAACACAATATTTGTGAGTTGGGCTCTGCATGCCACCGCATTGGATTTGAAATGAAACCTCTACAACAGAATTCAAGTGCAGATTGTAACGTTTAATTTAAAGGGTTGAACAAAAATATCTGATAGAAAATGTAGGAATTGTACAGATTTGTTTACAAACACTCCACATTTTAGGAGCTCAAAAGTAATTGGACATATAAACATAACCCAAACAAAAAAGTTTTTTCTCAATATTTTGTTGCGAATCCTTTGGAGGCAATCACTGCCTTAAGTCTGGAACCCATGGACATCACCAAACGCTGGGTTTCCTCCTTCTTAATGCTTTCCCAGGCCTTTACAGCCGCAGCCTTCAGGTCTTGCTTGTTAGTGGGTCTTTCCGTCTGAAGTCTGGATTTGAGCAAGTGAAATGCATGCTCAATTGGGTTAAGATCTGGTGATTGACTTGGCCATTGCAGAATATTCCACCTTTTTGCTCTCATGAACTCCTGGGTAGCTTTGGCTGTATGCTTGGGGTCATTATCCATCTGTACTGTGAAGCGCCGTCCGATCAACTTTGCAGCATTTGGCTGAATCTGGGCTGACAGTATATCCCGGTACACTTCAGAATTCATCCGGCTACTCTTGTCTGCTGTTATGTCATCAATAAACACAAGTGACCCAGTGCCATTGAAAGCCATGCATGCCCATGCCATCACGTTGCCTCCACCATGTTTTACAGAGGATATGGTGTGCCTTGGATCATGTGCCGTTCCCTTTCTTCTCCAAACTTTTTTCTTCCCATCATTCTGGTACAGGTTGATCTTTGTCTCATCTGTCCATAGAATACTTTTCCAGAACTGGGCTGGCTTCTTGAGGTGTTTTTGGGCAAATTTAACTCTGGCCTGTCTATTTTTGGAATTGATGAATGGTTTGCATCTACATGTGAACCCTTTGTATTTGCTTTCATGGAGTCTTCTCTTTACTGTTGACTTAGAGACAGATACATCTACTTCTCTGAGAGTGTTCTGGACCTCAGTTGATGTTGTGAACGGGTCCTTCTTCACCAAAGAAAGTATGCGGCGATCATCCACCAATGTTGTCTTCCGTGGACGCCCAGGCCTTTTGAGTTCCCAAGCTCACCAGTCAATTCCTTTTTCCTCAGAATGTACCAGACTGTTGATTTTGCTACTCCAAGCATGTCTGCTATCTCTCTGATGGATTTTTCCTTTTTTTCAGCCTCAGGATGTTCTGCTTCACGTCAATTGAGAGCTCCTTTGACCGCATGTTGTCTGGTCACAGCAACAGCTTCCAAATGCAAAACCACACACCTGGAAACAACCCAGACCTTTTAACTACTTACTTGATTACAGGTTAACGAGGGAAAGGCCTTTTGAGTTACTTGCAGCCTTTGGAGTCCATTGTCCAATTACTTTTGGTCCCTTGAAAAAGAGGAGGCTCTGCATTACAGAGCTATGATTCCTAAACCCTTTCTCCGATTTGGATGTGGAAACTCTCATATTGCAGCTGGGAGTGTGCACTTTCAGCCCATATTATATATAAATTGTATTTCTGAACATATTTTTGTCAACAGCTAAAATAACAAAACCTGTGTCACTGTCCAAATATTTCTGGCCCTAACTGTATGTCTTTAAAGTTGGAAGGCATCCTTGCCATCACCTTAATCTTTACCTTTCACTATATATTCTCCAAAACAAGTAGTCACTTGTCTTTTATGTGCCTTTGTTGTAGAGAAATTCCTTCTTTTCTGATTTGTCACCATTTAATTTGCACAAAATGATTAGGTGGCATTAGAAAATGGAAACATGGTAAAGTGTCATTAGGAAGTAACACACACAAAAAAGAAAAACAGGGAAGCATAAAGGAAGCCTAAATTCTTCCAAATGTTTTGACCTGCTAAACAGGTTGACGGAGCATTGTTGGTAAGCCGGCTTTATTCAAGTCAGAAGGAAAAAAGAACTTCAGCAAGTGCACACAAGTCCAAACGGCGTCTATACCTGTGTTAGGTGGACAACGTCATCGCTGCTTGAAAGCCGCAGCAGCTGACCTTCCTTCCCTCTCAGCTCGCCGAGCTCATTCTCCAGCCGCTGCTTCAGCTCCCCAGCCTGAGCGAGGGCGCTCTTCTCCTGGGCCTCAATCAGCTGCTCCAGCTTACTGCATCTGTTCTGCACAGACGAGATCAGCTCGGAGAAAGCCTTGGCACAGTCTGCCTTTGAGGTCTGGGCACTGCTCTGTGGGAACAAACGCAGCTGTTAATTAAAGCGTGGTTACATTTATAAAAGCTAGACTATATTCCCTTTAGGGAGATTCAATCAAACCTGTGGTTATTTTGTGTTCAAATTAAAATGACAATTAATTAAAAGATAAAAACAGGCTTTTGATGATTTTGCTTCGCTTTTGCCAGCGAATACTGCGTGCACCCAACGTTATGTTTTGGATTTGCTTTAATAAATGAGTTAAAGTTGCAATTCTTTTAAACTCAAATTGGCTGGCAGGTTGGATCATCTCTTAGTGATAACATTAGAGTCTATAAATTGTTGCGCTTCAGAAGAATTTTGAGTTTTTCAGCTCTCAACGTCTGGCTCCGACCTTGTAGGATTTCTCTCTGCTGCCATCAAGTGGCGGAAGGAAGACATTGTTACCCATAAGACTCGGATGGAGGTCTGGCACCATATCAGACAAACTAAATACTTAATTAAATTCCAGCTGAAAGGTTTCAGCAATACATCACTGAGTCACATCCGGGGGAGACGTGCTGTTCCTGCTTAAACCTTTGATCCTTACATTTCACAATAAAGATCAGTCTTTTGTCACAATTCTTTACTAGTACATTCAGTTTTACTGATTACATCTCTTGAAACAAACAAACAAAAAAGAAAGTCAATTTTAATTGTTTTGTTTTTTATTAGACTATACCTTAACATTTTTCTCAGCTTGTATGATCGTCTCCAGCTCTTCTTCTCTTTGCTGGACTTTCTCTTGCACTTGCTTTCGAACTTTCTCCAGCCGTTCCTGGAAGAAACCAGAAAGCTCCCATTGAGTATCTTTTTAATTGGACTGGGGAACTTTAATTACATCATTTGTTTTTACCTTTGTGGTCTCCTTTAACTCCAGAATAGACACAAACTTGTGACCTTTATGTTTGTCCATCGTGCACTTGGTGCAGATGAGCTGCTCGTCCGTCTGGCAGCAGAGATCCATCAACTTCCGATGCTCGGTGCACACCTTGTGCCCTATTGGCATCGTAGCTGAGATCAGTTCATGCTCTTGCAACACGGAGACAGTGTAGTGAGGCTCTACATGTTCATTGCAGTAAGATGCCAAGCACGTCAAGCAAGACTTGGTGGCTTTGTTTCCTCCGAGACTGCAAAAGTCACAGGCGACATCTGGCGGGGCGGCCACGGTCAGAGACGGAGGCGGTGGTTGGGGATATCTCATCTTAAACTTCTTCACAACCTGAAGAAGCAGGAAGGGAAGTCAGTTTGGACAGAAAATTTGATTCTTAAGGTACCCTAGGGACCTTATTTTGCATTGAATTGCTCTTTGTTTACCAGGCTGTGAGCTTGTCAGTTGCTCTTTATGGTATTTGGCCGGTAGAGTTAAGTTTCACTTCCCAGAGAAATTTTCCGTTTCCATTTGTCAAAATTCACTTACACAAGGACCACACGTCAATACTAATAACAGCAGAATGCCCAATAATAGTTTCTTCTCATATGTTTTTTTTACAGTCGTGGATATTTTAAAACAAAACTGAAGGTTCACTTACGTCTCTCAAGCTTCTTACAAAAGGTGTCTATGTCGCAACACAAGAAAAAAGCAATCTTACTGTACCTTTGTAAGATCTATTCAGAGCAGTGGAGTCCAAACGTTTTGTTAAATGTACATAAATTGTTAAGTCAAAAGTATCCAACAGATCCAAAACTAGAAAAAGGAAACAGTGTTTTTCACACTTTGCTGATTAAAAGACAGAAATCCAGTTTGGACCAGACTAAAAACATAGAGGAAAAATATTCTCAGTAACAAGAACACAATTCGGGTAACTGCGCCCCACTCTTTGGAAACCACTGGGTTAACCTAATGCAGATAACTAAATTACCACCTTAAATTCTCCCAGTTTGTTCATATCTGTTGAGTTTATAAATGCAGAACACCAGCTCCTCTTCGAGACTTTGCAGGCTAGTCCAGGTTTAGTCTGATTAGCTGTCACGCTAGCACTCCTCCTCACCTCAGCCAGCATGTTGTTTCTCTTCAGGACAGGCCTGGGATGGAAGGTCTCCCTGCACTGGGGGCAGCTGTATTCCTCCCTCTCACCCTGCCTGTCCCAGCTGCTCTCGATGCAGCTTCGGCAGTAACTGTGTCCGCAGTGGATGGTGACGGGCTCATTCAGCAGATCCAGGCAAACTGAGCAGCAGAACTGCTCATGGTCCAGATTGACTACGTACTGGTTGTCCTGCAGATCTTCCTCCTTACTGGTCATTTAGCTAAAAATGATAGCAACACAAAAGGAACGAATCAGAGCGGTTTTTGAGGTTTGAGGTTTTGAATTGCTGGAGAAATAAATGAGAGAGATTTCAATGTCCAAACTGCAATAACCATCTACTGCTTGTGCTGATAAAGTGTGGTGGGCTGATGGAGGCATTGCAAGTGTAATCAGTCTAAGATAATGTTGATCATAAACGACTTCTGGGGAGATACATAGAACAAATACAGCATTCATAAAATTGAGAGAGTAAAATATATTCTGATAAGGTATACTTCTAATTTTCTGATTCTGCAAGATCAAACAGATTCTGAAATGCTTTTTTTTTTTTTAATCTATGAACTACTTGCTGATTCACAGTTATGAAATCTAAATTCTGACAAATTGATTGAAAGCATTCCAACTAGACACATGTTTTGGTCTGAATGTGCTCAAAGAAAATGTTATTTTTTTTTAGCACAAGTTCTTCAACAAAATTCAAACGGCATAGAAGAAAATGTCTAAGACATCGCTAGAAAACGTGGAGTTCTTAAATGATGGGAATGAAGCAAAGTTCCTGATAGCCATTCTTTGACCAGAAGTTTATTTCCCAGGAAATTTGTGCATCTTTATGCAAAACAACAACCATTGTCCATGGTAGATTTTACAGCCTTCTAACTTTACTCAGAGCTAGTAAAACAACAGAATCAGAATTTTAATGTTTATTGTGATTGAACCGGGCATTATGATCTATATATTTAAACTGCAAAACAAAAAGAGAAACAAAACAAATTAGGACAAATACCTGTATACCTGTATAGTACTTAGTACTAGTTTATTTAGTATTTAGTACTAGTACTCTAGTACTGAGTTTTAGTACTCTGAGTACTAAAACTATGATGTTTCCACCAATTTCAGCATCATTCTCTGGTTCTACAGCTGTGTTATGCAGTGGCTTTGGTTCGAGCAGCACAACCAGGAACTGCAGTTTGTATTTTTGGATGGTATTTTGCATTGAATTGCTCTTCGTTTACCAGGCTGTGAGCTTGTCAGTTGCTCTTTATGGTATTTGGCCGGTAGAATTAAGTTTCACTTTCCAGGAAAATTTTCCGTTTCCATTTGTCAAAATTCACTTACACAAGGACCACATGTCAATACTAATAACAGCAGAATGCTCAATAATAGTTTCTTCTAGTATGTTTCTTTTTACAGGCGTGCATATTTTAAAACAAAACTGAAAGTTCACTTACGTCTCTCAAGCTTCTTACAAAAGGTATCTATGTCGCAACACAAGAAAAAGCAATCTTACTGTACCTTTCTGATTTTTGAATGCTGTAAACGTCAGCAGCCACTTTTGTCAGTGAATAAATAATTAAAGACTATCAGTCATTATCAGTCAAAAAGCACCATTAAGATCGATTGCAGTCTCCTCCGCAGGACCGTAGAAAACTATCAGTGTTGCCAAAATGAACAGCAACACTGGACGGGTTTCCACCCAATGGGTGGAGATTCTAATACACATAGTACATTAAAACTGTGTTGGAACACGTATTCAGAAGCACGTATTCAAACATGCCCTTGAACACGTTTGGCTGTAAAAAAGTGTTCAGAGGCTATTTTTGAAATAGTTACTGTGTGACAGAAGAGTACAAAACTTTTAATAAGCTTTGTTATTGCACTAATTATTTTTGAACTGTCCAGAAAATGAACATCCACGTGTCCTGACACGTGGGCGGTTGTGTTACTAATTATGTTGCCTATTGCGTCGTCAACCTTTGATCCAAAGCTCCCGGGAAGATTAAGAAAGATGAATGTGTCATTTCCATCATATTACTTAAAATACATATATATGATTTTTCAGAGTTAAACTGAAAGGGAAAAAAAACTATAAAAAGCAAACAAATGGAATAAAAATGAAAATCAACAAGACAAAACAGAACAGTGTCAGCTTACTGGAGAACCGATAAAAGAGGACGAAATATGTGCACATCAGTCCATAGAGCGTAATCAAGCATACTTTAAAAATATTTGGAGACCGTTTTTGAAATGATTGTGCACCACTGGTCTAACCAGTGTAAAGAAATCTATAAAAAGAATGTTTCTCATACTTGAAACAAACAATGGAAAGTTACAGGTGATTAGAGTTATCTGTTATACAACTGATTAGGGTGATGTGAGTTATATGTTTATATTGTTTGTTCTCCCTTCCCCCATAATCCCTTTTGACAAAAGTGACTTAGGTCATTAATGTAGGAAGGCGACAATATGCAACTGTCGTGATATTTATTTCCACCAATTACGTTGAAGTATTGGAAAGCCAGCTCACGTTCAATTTAAGTAAAAGAAATATCAAACTCCCTTTTTCAGGAAAATAACACCCCACTTTTGAAGTAAATAAGCTTAAAAATCATTAGCAGTCAAAAAGTACCTTTAAGACTGATTGTAGTTAAACAGTGAAGCAGGCGGATGGCATGCTTTTATTTTGTAGAAACTTTATTCAAATGGTATGTACTGTATGTTATTTCATCAATCAACAAACAGAATAAATGTGCAAAACACCAAGTCAAAATCTTTTACATTATGTATAGTTACAATCATTTTACACAACAAAATGTAATATGCAAAACAGAGAGTGATTGACACATGTTCTTATATCATGACAACTTTTGCAATGCTTTTATTACTACTAGTGGTTTAAGTCAAACAATGACATCAACAGACATTTTTGTGTCTCTTGAAATACATAAATTTAGTGCTTCCTCAAGTTTTTTGTTTCTCATAAAGTCTCACCATAAAGTTTTGGTTGAGATAAAAATGTGCTTTCAGTAACAATCTTATTGGAGAAACAAAGCAAGAACAGCTTGAATTACGAATAAATAAGAGAACCCACACCAAGTGTCATTTTTACAAAGAAATTAAATAACGTGCAAATCTTCGAACAAGGTAACAGTGACGACAAACCCTGTCCGTCTTTAAAAGAATGTCCTGTTGAAACAAATAATACTATCACCAAAAGTGCATCAAAAATTAGAATGAAAAGAGTATTTAGAAAAAGCAGCTGTAGGATTTGTAAAGTACCTTAAAAAAAACAGAGGATGCCCCTAGTGCCTCGCCAATACAGGCTAAGAGTAGAAATTCCTATAAAAAGTAGTTTGTTTGGCGCAGCAGCACAAACCAGGAATTTGTGCAGCGTTTGTTCTAAAAATATAGTGCTATCTCTCATCATCACTGGTTCCACAAGATGCTATGTAGCTCACATGAAACATTCCTTTGCTGTTCTGTGTCTAACATGATCATTTCTGCAGACCTGCCAGCTACACATTGTTGCTGTAATTTCCATACAAGGCACTCAAAATGCCTCAACAGGGCAAAAAACTGATTGTTTAAGATAAATGCAAAGAATAAAACCATTACTCAAAACTTCAATCTTTACGATTGCCAATGCCAAATGTTAGGTTGTTTTACCACCTTATAGTCCAGTACACTGGGTACAATTGCACAAAGAGTTATGTTTTCAGCTGGTGCAGTTTGCTGATCTGATCTGTGTCAAATGACCTAAATGTTTTGAAGAACCTTGCCTGTGGTGGCGTTACACCAAGAGCCACTGAAAGAAAGGGCACAAAAACTTTAGAAGAAAACCATTGCACCTACATTCTTCACAAAATGTAAACCAAAATGGAGTGGCATCAGATTTTAGTGGTTGTAGGATTTCTTTTATTTCTGGTGGAAGACCATGAGCCATTTCTCCTTGTACTTGCTAATTTGTTTTTGTTCTACTGACCCAGAATGCCCTGCACTATAATTTGCTTCCTGCTTTTGGAGCAATCTCTGGTCTGTTTGCATCCAAAACCATGCCAGAGTTCAATTTAAGCAAACTAAAACCTGCATTTTTAGGCGGACCAGAGTTTTTGGTTTGAGTTCAATTGTGCATTCACGGCTCCCCAAACAGACCAGATTTTCTAGACAAACTATAGTCGGATTAAAGTGGACTCAACAAGAGCTGGTTTGAACGCATCTTTAATTTTGTGGAAGCATCCTAAATTTACTTCTTTCCTTTATAACAGCATCAAAAGTCTTCTCGATTGCCTCCATCGGAGTTTTTGCTTCCTTAGATGCTTCCTGACCAATACCAACACCTCGTACTCCTCCTGCGGCAGCTGCGGTTACTGTGGCCACGCCTGCCACCACTCCAGTGGCCACGACTGCCACCTCACTTCCCGCTACAACCGCTGCAGGTGCCATCGTTGTTAGGGTTTTCACGCGCTTCACGATTTCGGTGGGATTTTTCACAACTTTCATTACAACTTCCAATAGCGCTGCCACTCCAAAAAACGCCCCCAACAAAGCACCGGTGGCAGTACCCGCTAACTGGATCAGAAATTCATCAGACACGAAAGTTTTAGCTTTCTCCCTGACCTCCTGTGGGGGTAAGTACACCTCCATCTTTCTAATCTCATTTTCTTGCTTCTGGATCCTTTCTTCTACATGCTGCAGAACGTCATTGGTGTAGTAGGATCCGTTTTTTTCCACCATCATCTTGTCTACTGTTTGAAGGAATGCCTCTAACTGGACCTGGTTGTTCCTGTAATCATCTTGCCCGTCCACTCCAGTGTTTATTATCAAAGACATGGCACCGACCTCCGCACTTCTTCACCAGATTACTCAGATTCTGATTCTTACTGACAAACTCCTCGATTTTCATCCCTTTTTGGAGCTGCTCGCCGTGAGTGAACACGATCACAGCGTATTTCAGAGCATCCTCTGAGAAAAGATCGCATATCTTAGTGATAACCTGCTGCTCTTGCTTTGTGAATCTGTCAACTCTAAGTAAAATGAGAAAGACGTGCGGTCCAGGTGCGCACTCCGTGAGGCAACGCATTATCTCCGGCTTCAACTCCTCTTCCGATTTGTCGGTGTCGAAGAAACCAGGCGTGTCGATCAAAGTGAGGCGCCTCCCATTAACTGCTCTGGTCTCTGATTCACATCTTCCTGTTCCTGCATTCGGAGAATGGTAAGAAGTAAAAACTTCCTCCCCCAGAATGGTGTTAGCCAGGTGGCTTTTCCCAGCTCCAGTTTTCCCCAGCAGAACCATCCTTGTTGGACTGGAGTCTGAAAAGATTCAGATTGAAAAGAATACCGAATTAAATGTCGGAAATTTTAGTAATATTAATTTTTCCGTTGGATTTTTTAAATAAATTATTTTATCATATTTTCACAGAAGGGAGAAAACAACAGCACAACTTCATTTCAATCTTACAGGTTTCCTATTGTCTATACTGACCCTGATGTCGATCAATTCCAGTACATCGGTTGTACTTCATATCTTCTTGGACAGATTTGAAGTCCTGTGTAGGCAATATTTTCAAGTTTAATACAAGTCCAAACATCCACCACTTCAATACAGATAAATACTGAATTTACTAATGGGTTCAATTGCATTTACACACCCAAATCTATTGACATCATATTTTTATTACAAAGGTTACAAAAACTGTTGCCCCATCTTTTTCAGAAAAAATATCCATTGGTTCTTTCAGGAGGACTGTCTGCAATGTTTAGACGTACATGTATGGTAATTGTTTTTTTTTACTATTTTATTAATTAATTTGTTATATCAGACACTGATGTTGGACTGCAAGGTGAGCAGTATTTCAGTGTGAATAAACCAAAAAAATCTACAAACAGGCATGAATAATTTGGAGTTATGTTCCACAAAAAAAAAAAAGTCTGTGAATAGGTAAATTGTGAATAGGAACTGCGGATAGATGGGGTTTCACTGTGGTTAGGACTCAAAGAATGTGGCTGTCAAGAAACATAAAATGCTAAAATATTACTTTACATAGTTCAGCTTAATATGTCCACTTTTTAACAGTTAAAAAGCCCCTTTGTTGTGAATCATTTAAGGGAAAAACATGTTTATTGTACTTTACCTCCACATCCTCTTGGTCTGGTAGAACAAGGAGAACTTGAACTGGTGCGCTGGTCGTTCTCTCCTGTTCAAATTTTGAGATCTCCTCCAGTAAAACCCTGGCTACCAGAGTGACTGGAAATTTTAGGGCAGAGCCAGCCCCAAGAGCAGGAAGGGCTACAGATCCAAACCCTTTGCTCTCACAGGAAGTCAGAATTTGGTTGATGCCCAATCGGAGAACCTGTAGAAATTTGTATTAGAAACAAGCTGAACATTATTTTTAAACGATCCGGACAAACTAATTGTGGTAAAAATGCTCAGCTATCTCACCTGAACTGCGGTTCCATTGTCTTCTGCATCCCACCGAATCAGGTTGAGGAAGAACACTGCACCAAAAGGAGGTCCAGTCAAATCTTCCTCTAGTATGAAGTCACCAGGCCCCATTTCACTTTTTGACTT